TGAAAATTCATCCAGTTCCCTGCTCCACTCGAACAGTAGGAACCCAGACAATGTGTGTGATGAATGTCTTAGCCATCTCGTTGAGACATCGGCGGCACTGAGCAACAGCTTTTGAAGTCAGCGACCTTCTTTTCTAGAAATTTAGTAGCCGCCTGACTGTCAGTGAACTTGTAAATATATACCACGACTAGAAATCGTATCGCGCAGTTCCACTGATGCGACCTTTGAAATAGGCATCAGTTTTGCCTGGAAAACACCGCAGTAGTCATGAGGGCGGAAGTTAGCTGCTTTTAAGGAACCAGCTGATTGGCTGCTATTGTACGCGATGCCAGTAAGGGAGCTTAATATAACCTCAGGAAGCCAGGCGACAATTACAGCCCTTTGCTCCCTTACGGTATACTCTAAGCTACTTGCAGAATACCTGACTTCTCGTTCCTGAAATTATTCGATCGCGCCTGAGTAGTGAATATCTTAGGAAACCATCTGGCTGATGAGTAGGAAAAGAAAGACTGGAAGTTCGCTTGACTACATATGGACGTCTCATGCAAAGATGCGCCTCGTGTCAACTAAGCGAACACTAGGCGAAAACCAGGGCATGTACTACTGAGAAGTCTTTGCAGGCCGAGAGTGAAGCAGATACGAGCTAGGTAACTCTTCAGGCTCCCAAAGCTGCAGCTCCCAATTCATGTGGTAATGACAGTATACTGTCAAATCGTACCGCCATTTTCATAGCCCAATAGGGGAGGACGGGGTGGGATTATATCAACAACGCCATTTGGACTGCCCAGCTTTTGCTAGACTGCACTTGGAATTGCTCTTCCTACCCGGAACAGAGACTAGGGGTCGACACCTGGCGCCAGCCAAACTTCGTTTCCGGTACGCTGTTTTTTTCGCTACAACTTAGTAATATCATCTGTACTGCAATCACATTGGAGCAATGCTCTTGATATAAGTTTGTCCCTTGTCTAAGGGAAACCATCTTAACCTAATAGATAGTTGTTTTCATGCACACGGTTGTTGATGTAATGTTAAAAATGTTAAAAAACCCAACTGTATTGAGCCAAAATATTTTAGTAAAAAAATGCGGTTTCTCGCGTATGACTTGTGGCGCACTTAAATACACAATTTTATGCTCATACATACATATATATAAACTTTTGTATCTAACAATTAAAAACCCTAAAATTTGCCTTTCTTATTTCTTATTTCTTTCGTTTCAGAGGAAATCTATTCATGCGAAAAA